GTTCTTTGTCTTGTTCTCTGCTGTTCTTGTTAACAGAGACCAACACACTGTTCTTGTCTTGTTCTCTGCTGTTCTGCTGTTTGTTAACAGAGACCAACACACTGTTCTGTCTTGTTCTCTGCTGTTCTGCTGTTTGTTAACAGAGACCAACACACTGTTCTTGTCTTGTTCTCTGTTCTTGCTGTTTTGTTAACAGAGACCAACACACTGTTCTTGTCTTGTTCTCTGCTGTTCTTGTTAACAGAGACCAACACACTGTTCTTGTCTTGTTCTCTGCTGTTCTTGTTAACAGAGACCAACACACTGTTCTTGTCTTGTTCTCTGCTGTTCTGTTGCCATCTGCTGTTCTTCTGCTCTTGTTAACATATTAATATTGTCCTGTGTGTAAATATAAAGTAACATTTACTTATAAAAACCTAACCTAACCTGACCTGATCTAAAGGTCAACCCTGAACTATGATAGTATCGGGGTCAACTAGGCATCAAAGTCTTTAACCTAACCTGTTATCGTAAGGTCAAATTATGACTTGACCCTTGCAATCACACCGTTCTCAGACGAACAGATCACGAACCTAACCTAAACTATCGTAAGCTAACCTAACCAATCGTAACCTAACTTAAACTAATCCATCGTAAACTAACCTAACTTAACCTAACCTTAGGTGGAAGGTGTTAAAACCAAACAGCTGTCGTGACGATGAACACACCTGTAGAGTTAATGTGTCATAACACCTGTTTATAATGTGACGTCGTCGATTACCACCTGTTTATAATGTGACGTCATCAATTAACACCTGTTTATAATGTGACGTCATCAATTAACACCTGTTTATAATGTGACGTCATCAATTAACACCTGTTTATACTGTGACGTCATCAATTAACACCTGTTTATACTGTGACGTCATCAATTAACACCTCTTTTATACTGTGACGTCATCAATTAACACCTGTTTATACTGTGACGTCATCAATTAACACCTGTCTTCTGTTACAGGTGTTCGCTATGCACGTGAAACAGGCCAACTTGACGGAGGGCGACATATGTCTGCTGTGAGTATTGTCTACACACATACATACATACACACATACACACAGACGTACATACATACATACATACATACACACACTCTCTCCCTCTATACATACACTGTACTATGGTAATGGGTATACATATTGAGGGGGACAGTGTATCTCTAATGACTCTCTCACATTACAGAAAGTCTCCTCCCAACACCAGTCAACTACCAGCTGTCAACAACAACAACAACAAGAAGGCCATTAACAACAACAGCGTCACGGCAGATGATAAGGAGTCTTCACCTCAACTGATTATTGTCACAGGTAAATGTTTTTTCTTTGGTTAGGTTAGTTTTAGTTGTGTTTACGTTAGGTTAGGTTAGTTTTAGTTGTGTTTACGTTAGGTTAGGTTGGTTTTAGTTGTGTTTACGTTAGGTTAGCATTAGGTTAGGTTGTGTATAATACAGTAAAAACAATGCAACTTTACTGTGATGAATTATATGACTACAATTTAACTTTATTAGACTCTCTCTCTCTCTCTCTCTCTCTCTCTCTCTCCAGCAGCTATAGAGCCAAATATTTCACCACATCTATTTTATAACACCACATTATTTTACAGCATCTGGGAACAAGACTCCAGGACCACAAGACGTTACCTCTGATACCTTCTGTACGACGCTTAATATCATCAATAACACCAGTCATAACACCAGTCATAACACCAGTCATAACACCAGTCATAACACCAGCCATAACACCAGTCATAACACCAGTCATGCACCAGTAATAACACCAGTAATAACACCAGTCCTAGACAGTCAGAACCAGTCATAGCACCAGTCATAACACCAGTCATAACACCAGCCATAGCACCAGTCATAGCACCAGTCATAACACCAGTCATAACACCAGTCATAACACCAGTCATAGCACCAGTCATAACACCTGTACCCACCTGCTGGCCAGAGATGATGGCATGACTACATCAACAGGCTCCTCATTGGTCGACCTCTCAGGTAAGTTAATAGATAATTCTTATACTTTACTCATTATCTTCATATTTACTCAAGTATACATGCTGAAGTATACAGATATATGTACAGTATACATGTGGAAGTATACAGGCGAGATCTACTGGTGATGTCCTCTCCTACTGCTCCTCTCTTAGGGGTTATGGGGAAACTTTCATCGTGGCCTTCGACATCTCCAAAACATTTGACGGGGTATGGCACAAGTCTTTGCTATCTAAACTTCCCTCTTATGGTTTCTCTCTCCCACTTTGTTTTCTCATCTCTAGCTTCCTTGAGAACCGATCCATGGCAGTTGAGGGATGGATCTCTCGCTCTTTCTCTACCAGGGTTCTGTTCTTTCACCAACTCTCTTCCTTCTTTTTATCAATAATTTACTTCACACTGCGACTAATTCTATCCATTCTTACGCTGATTTTCTCTTCACATTTTCCCCTTCCTCTTAACTCTCAAACTAGATCTGTTTCTAGACATCATTACATCTATCAATGCAGATCTGTACAGCATCTCTGAATGGGAAGGTAGAGACTTGGTTAAATTTAGTAATAAAACTCAATATTTACCAATTACACTTTTTAAATTAGATGATCTCCCACCAATTACATTTCAGGACACAATCATTCTGCCAAATTCTGTAATAGATATGCCAGGCCTCACCATTAGCTGTAATATCATGGAAGCCACACAACATTGCTAAAGCTGCCTCCCCAAAGCTGTGAATGCTGTACAGATGCCATAGCTACTTCACCCCTGAGCTGTTGGTTCAAGTATATAAGGGATTAATTGGTCCTAACTGGAGTACTGCTCTCATATCTGGGGTGGCTCTTCAACTGTTAGATAGGCTGGAATCAAAGGCTTATTAACTCTCCTCCTTGTTGATAATCTCTTCTCTTCACCACAATGTTGCTTCACTCTCTCTCTTTTAGGTACTTTAACGGGCTGCACCGTGGGCTGGTGTCTTGCCCACAGTGTGGGATACACTATAATAACCCATTATAGTACATCCTTCTTTACTCACACAGCCAAACTGTGTTGTGTGATGGGGTCACACTATAATAACCCGTTATAGTACATCCTTACTCACACAGCCAAACTGTGTCTGTGTGGATGTGGGTCACACTATAATAACCCATTATAGTACATCCTTCTTTACTCACACAGCCAAACCTGTGTGGATGTGGGTCACACTATAATAACCCATTATAGTACATCCTTCTTTCTCACACAGCCAAACTGTGTCTGTGTGGATGTGGGTCACACTAATAACATTATAGTACATCCTTCTTTACTCACACAGCCAAACTGTGTCTGTGTGGATGTGGGTCACACTATAATAACCCATTATAGTACATCCTTCTTTACTCACACAGCCAAACTGTGCTGTGTGGATGTGGGTCACACTATAATAACCCATTATAGTACATCCTTCTTTCCTCACACACAGCCAAACTGTGTCTGTGTGGATGTGGGTCACTATAATAACCCAATATAGTACATCCTTCTACTCACACAGCCAAACTGTGTCTGTGTGGATGTGGGTCACCTATAACCCATTATAGTACATCCTTCTTTACTCACACAGCCAAACTGTGTCTGTGTGGATGTGGGTCACTATAATAACCCATTATAGTACATCCTTCTTTCCTCACACAGCCAAACTGTGTCTGTGTGGATGTGGGTCACACTATAATAACCCATTATAGTACATCCTTCTTTCCTCACACTGTGGAATGCTCTGCCTTCTTCTGTGTTTCCATACTCATACAATCTGTTCTCGCATTATAAAGATGCTTTCCCGTCATCTTCACTGTGTACATTAATATAAACCTTGTGGGGCGATGACCTGAGCCCGGGTGAGCCATTACCCGTAAAAAATAAATATACCTCCATTACACACACAGACTCACCATATGTAACAATTTGACTGATTATTATTGTATCTATGAGTGACTAAAGTACTGAACTGTTCCAGACACTGGGAGCTACAGCAGTGATCGTCTCCACCACCCATCCATCTCCTCTGGCGGCCTCCACCATCTCCGTCGTGTGGCCTCCAAGCCAGCTCCCTCGCTTCTCTCGACAACGATGGGTCTGACCTCGAGTCTTTCAGCTCTCTTGAAGTAGATATACCCGAGGCTCAAGACTCGAATAAAGGAGACTCCGGGAGCCTCTTAGATGTTGTGGGATATTGTTCAGGACGTGTGAGTTCCTCCTGTTGTAGCGAGGAGGACTGGAACACACAGGTCGCTCTTAACCTCTTCAACAACAACATCAACCAACTGAGAGAGTGTAGTGACTTTATTAAGACTTTCTATGATAAACCAAAGATCCAGCTGCACCCTGACACACAGATACAGCTGAAGACTGATACAAAGATCCAGCTGCACCCTGACACACACATACAGCTGCAGCCTGATAAACTGATCCAGCTGCAGCCTGATACACAGTTCCAGCTGCAGAGTGACACACAGCTGTGCAATAACACCGGCGGCGACAATAATGGCAACGTAGAGTGGTCCATCAGTGGCCAACATCTCGGCCAGACATGTAACGCCAGACCGTCATCGTGCGAGTCGGCCGAACTCTCCTCGGACGACGAGAATCCCTCCGACATCGAACAGAAGATGGCCGAGACTAAAGTCAAGATGAACGATGCCATACTGTCCAATGGGAAGGAAGAACTATCTCTCCACGGACGTAAACTGAAGCACTACATGAAGCAGAAGGAGAACTGCGGTGCTGCCGGGAGTATGAAGCACAAGCAGCCCGGCTCCCTCAAGCTCTCAGACCCTGACGACGCAGATAACCGCTACACCCAGCCCCCTGACAGCCCCATAGTCGACGCCTACGAGAAGGAATGTCTCGATGTGCCGGAGAAGATGGTGAGGGAGCTGGAGAACCAAGCCAAGGAGATCACCCACGGAGACGACTTTATTCGCTAAGAAGGATAAGATGGAGCTGAATGAACACCACAAGAAATGGCATACAGGAGAGCAGTTCCCTGATGCCTCCAGTAACAGAGAGCAGTTCCCTGATGCCTCCAGTAACAGAGAGCAGTTCCCTGATGCCTCCAGTAACAGAGAGCAGTTCCCTGATGCCTCCAGTAACAGAGAGCAGTTCCCTGATGCCTCCAGTAACAGAGAGCAGTTCCCTGATGCCTCCAGTAACAGAGAGCAGCTCCTGATGCCTCCAGTAACAGAGAGCAGTTCCTCGATGCCCAGTAACAGAGAGCAGTTCCTGATGCCTCCAGTAACAGAGAGCAGTTCCCTGATGCCCCCAGTAACAGAGAGAAGTTCCCTGATGCCTCCAGTAACAGAGAGCAGTTCCCTGATGCCTCCAGTAACAGAGAGCAGTTCCCTGATGCCCTCAGTAACAGAGAGAAGTTCCCTGATGCCTCCAGTAACAGAGAGCAGTTCCCTGATGCCTCCAGTAACAGAGAGCAATGCCCTGATGCCTCCAGTAACAGAGAGCAATGCCCTGATGCCTTCAGTAACAGAGAACAATGCCCTGATGCTCTCAGTAACAGAGAGCAGCTCCCTGATGCCTCCAGTAACAGAGAGCAATGCCCTGATGCCCTCAGTAACAGAGAACAATGCCCTGATACCCCTGTCAACAGACCAGACACGGGGGACCAATGCCCTGATGCCCACAGTAGCATACCTGACTCGGGGGAGCAATGCCCTGATGCCCACAGTACCATACCAGAAACGGGGGAGGAATGCCCTGATACCCCTGTTAACAGACCAGACACAGAGGAACCATGCCCTGATGCACCTGTTAACAGAGAGCAATGCCCTGACACTGGGGTTAAGAATGATAACACTGGCCGCACCACTTTCTCTGATACTGGTAAGATTATGTTGTACAGTATACCTACACTGTTGAACCTAACCTAACCATTACAGGTAGAGACGGTAGTTAGACACATTAAGGTGACCTCACACGACCTCTTCCACCAACAGACAGGAGCCGTGTGTCTAGGGTGACCTTCTCTGGGTTGGAGACACCAGCAGTGCTTCGGGACAGCCCTCACAGACGCAGGGACAGAGCGGCTCTCAGGAAGTCTGTACCACAAGTTTCATCTACCAAGGAGAGCTAAGCTGGGCTCTCCTGATGGTGGTGAGTACACTACAGTATATTACAGTGTACTACAGTTTATATTACAGGGTGATTCACCATACAGTACATTAAATTGGAATTCTAAACCATAATATGTCTCTAGTAAAATGACAGGTTCAGCTCACATGTTATTGACTGGTGCGATCAAATTAAAACATACATTGTGAAACATGTCAGACGATCGTTAGTACGTCATTACAGCCCCACCTTGAGGCATAATGGGACAGTTTTGTACATTTCCTTTAGGTTGTAACACAGAAGAAGTCACTCTATTGATCTATGGAGAAATGATTACAGAAATCCTGGGAAGGTTTCACATTAAATTCACTCTTATTAATATAACATTTTAAATATATTGTAACATGGGAACTATACTGAATCAGACATTATACCATAGAGACATTGTGGTTTAGAATTACAAGAATTTAATCCTCCAATTAACTGTACTGTATGCTGAATCACCTTGTATATTACAGTACAGAATCTGATATTAAATACAGAATACAGTACAGGTTTTATTACAGCACAAGATAGTGTACTGCCTTCTCTGTGTAATGGGACTGTATTAGTTGATGTATTTTAACCTCTGCTGCTGGTAATTACAAAATATGTTTACTGTAATATTTATCATCTGAGTTATGTTGTATTTTATTGAGGTTTATAACCAGTTAGATACAGTCTCTCTCTCTCTCTCTCTTAACCAGTTAGATACAGTCTCTCTCTCTCTCTCTCTCTTAACCAGTTAGAGAAGTGAGGGAGGAATGAGGGAGGAGTGAGGGAGGAGTGGGGAGGAATGAGGAAGAATGAGGGAGGAATGAGGGAGAAGTGAGGGAGAAGTGAAGGAGGAGTGAGGGAGGGGTGAGGGAGGGGTGACATTCCTTACTAAGTAGATAAACAAGAGCTTCTCCTCTCTCTCTCTCTCTCTCTCTCTCTCTCTCTCTCTCTCTTCAAAAACTCTAAAACCAATATGGCAGCGAATTTCCTTCATACCCAACTATGGTGGCTGAGCCAATATGGCAGCGAATTTCCTTCATACCCAACTATAGTGGCGCTGAGAACCAATATGGCGGGAATTTCCCTTCTACCCAACTATAGTGGCGCTGAAAACCAATATGGCAGCGGATTTCCTTCATACCCAACTAGTGGCGCTGAAAACCAATATGGCAGCGAATTTCCTTCATACCCAACTATAGTGGCGCTGAAAACCAATATGGCAGCGAATTTCCTTCATACCCAACTATAGTGGCGCTGAAAACCAATATGGCAGCGAATTTCCCTTCATGCCCAACTATAGTGGCGCTAGAAAACCAATATGGCAGCGAATTTCCTTCATACCCAACTATAGTGGCGCTGAAAACCAATATGGCAGCGAATTTCCTTCATACCCAACTATAGTGGCGCTGAGAACCAATATGGCGGCGAATTTCCCTTCATACCCAACTATAGTGGCGCTGAGAACCAATATGGCAGCGAATTTCCTTCATACCCAACTATAGTGGCGCTGGCCAATATGGCAGCAATTTCCCTTCATACCCAACTATAGTGGCGCTGAAAACCAATATGGCGGCGAATTTCCTTCATACCTACTCTAGTGGCGCTGAAAACCAATATGGCAGCGAATTTCCTTCATACCCAACTATAGTGGCGCTGAGAACCAATATGGCAGCGAATTTCCTTCATACCCATATAGTGGCGCTGAGAACCAATATGGCGGCGAATTTCCTTCATACCCAACTATAGTGGCGCTGAAAACCAATATGGCAGCGAATTTCCCTTCATACCCAACTATAGTGGCGCTGAAAACCAATATGGCAGAATTTCCTTCATACCCAACTATAGTGGCGCAAACCAATATGGCAGCGAATTTCCTTCATACCCAACTATAGTGGCGCTGAAAACCAATATGGCAGCGAATTTCCTTCATACCCAACTATAGTGGCGCTGAGAACCAATATGGCAGCGAATTTCCTTCATACAGGTTAGTGGCACTGTAAAACATATCGTACCCCAGAGAGACATGATGGTACTATGGTCCAGTAGTGCCATCAGTGCCAAGAGGAGGGTGAAGGGACCGCACCTTACCGCTTCCTCCCACAATTATACACGATTATTAAATATTACCATAATTTATTGGATCTTTGGAATAATTACGATAAATTATACATATGTGAGTTATTATTATCGGGAAAAAAGTCCGGGAATAAAGTTTTAATTGTTTAAGTGGAGAATATTAAAGGAATTTACTTCGTCTTGATGTGGTAATTTATCTGACGATTAATTAAATAAAGTTACGATTTAGTTTTGAAAATTTGGATACAGTGTTTAATGGTGACTGCTTATGGTGATACAGTGTTTATAGTGATAGTGTTTATAGTGATACAGTGTTTATAGTGATAAATATGTTGTTATGTTGGCTCCAAATGGTGCTGTGTTACCACAGCATCACAGTGTTAGTGTTACACAGTATCTGTTGTTTAAGTGATGCATACTGGTGTCATGTTGTCCTTATCATATCACGTGTTAGTGTTTACTAATACAGTGTTGTTGTTACAGTGATGTATACAGTGTTACAGTGTTCCCAATAGCATCACAGTGTTACAGTGGTGTATACAGTGTTACAGTGTTACCAATAGCATCACAGTGTTAGTGGTGTATACAGTGTTACCAATAGCATCACAGTGTTACAGTGTTACCAATAGCGTTACAGTATACAGTGTTACAGTGGTGTTTACCTTACAATCTTGTTTACTGACACAATTAACACAATTTACAATGTTATTTACACAAACGTACACTGAGTCAACACTAACGGGGTCGGGGCTACACTAACGGGGTTATGATAACGAAAATATGAATAAAATCTTTTTAATAATTGACGTAAAGTTAACGATGACAAGTAGATGTTTTCTGATATAAGCCTCACTGATACGTGCCGTCCTGTACACACACACACACACACACACACGCACGCACACACGCACACACACACACACACACACACACACACACACACACACACACACACACACGCACACACACACACACACACACACACACACACACACATACCAGACACACACACACCACACACACACATGACCCCACACACACACCCACACACACCCACACCCACCCACACCCTCCCACACCCACCCACACACACACACACCCACCCACACACCCACCCACACCCTCCCCACACCCCCCACACCCACCCCACACCCACACAACCCACCCCACACCCCCACCCACCCACACACACCCCACACCCCACCCACACACCCACCCACACCACCCACACCCACCCACACCTCTACACCCACCCACCTCCCCACACCCACCCCTCCCTCTACACCCACCCACACCCCCTCTACACCCACCCACACCCCCACACCCACCCACACCCCCACACCCACCCACACCCACACACACCCCTCCCCCACACCCACCCACACCCCCACACCCACCCACACCCACCCACACCCCCACACCCACCCACACCCACACAACCCAACCCCACACCCACCCCACACCCCACCCACACCCCCACACCCACCCACACCCCACCCACCCACACCCCCACACCCACCTGCACCTCCACACCCCCAACCCACCCACACCCACTCACACCCCCACACCCACCCCACACCCCACACCCACCCACACCTCCCCACACCCACCTACACCTCTACACCCACCCACACCCCACACCACACCCACCCACACCCCCCACCCACCCACACCCCACCCCACACCCACACCCACACCTCCCCACACCCACCCACACCCTCCCCACACCCACCCCACACCCCCACACCCACCCACACCCACCCACACCCACACCCCCACAACCCACCCACAACCCACCACACCCACCCCACACCCACACCCACCCACACACCCCCACACCCACCCACACCTCCACCCACCCCACACCCCCACACCCACCTACACCTCCCCACACCCACCCACACCACCCCACACCCACCCCACACCCACCCACACCTCCTCGCACCCACCTACACCTCTACACCCACCCACACCCTCTCCACACCCACCCACACCCTCCCCACACCCACCCACACCTCCCCACACACCCACACCCCACCCACACCTCCCCACACCCACCCACACCTCCCCACACCCACCCACACCCTCCCCACACCCACCCACACCTCCCCACACCCACCCACACCACCCCACACCCACCCCACACCCACCCCACACCCACCACACCTCCCCACACCCACCCACACCCTCCCACACCCACCCACACCTCCCCACACCCACCCACACCCTCCCACACCCACCCACACCCTCTACACCCACCCACACCCACCCACACCACCCCACACCCACCCACACCCACCACACCCACACCCACCCACACCCCCCCCCACACCCACCCACACCCCCACACCCACCCACACCCCCCACACCACCCACACCACACACCCCACACACCCACCCACCCACACCTCCCCCACACCCACCTGCCCCCCACACCCCCACCCACACCCCCACACCCTCCCCACACCCACCCACCCCCACACCCACCCACAACCCACCCAACACCCCCCAACCCACCCACACCTCCCACACCCACCTACACCTCCTCACACCACCACACCTCCCCACACCCCACCCACACCACCCCACACCCACCCACACCCTCTCACACCCACCTACACCTCCCACAACCCACCCACACCCACCCCACACCCACCACACCCACCCACACACCTCCCTCCACACACCCACCCACCCTCCCCCACACCCACCCACACCTCCCTCCACACCCACCCCACACCTCCCCCACACCCACCCACACCACCCCACACCCACACCCACACCCACCCACACCCACCCCACACCCACCCACACCCACCCACACCTCCCCACACCCACCCACACCCACCCACACTCCCCACACCCACCCACACCTCCCCACACCCACCCACACCCCCACACCCACC